CTGGGCACCATACACACCCACTCCATCAACTACAAGGTGGACTTGGACGTGGGAGATAGGTCTGGGTCTTGTCTCCTTTCTTAATATTTTTGGACCTCCAAAGCTGACCATTTGGTAGCCTTTCCACAGGCTTTTCTTTCCAGATGTGCAGTCGGGCACAGAGCTCCTTTCTGTTCTCAGGGCTGGAAATACTGCTGCGATGGAGGGAGGATGGTGGGGGGCTCCGCTTCCTCTGTGTCCTGCCCTTTTCCATGCAGCCGTGTGGGGCTGCAGCTTCCCAGGCTGGACAAGGCCGGCGCTGTGGCCTGGGCAGCTCGTGTCCATTGGGAGAAGCGGGACGGTTGCCGGTTCCTGTGTGCACAGCCCGGAACAGCCTGTGATGCCGTCGACAGCAGCTCCTGCTCTGCCTCTTTCTCCCCTTGCACGACTGGACCCTGCGCCCAACAAGCCCCGTCCCAGCTCCCTTGGTCCAGACACCTCCGAGGCTCCGCAGAAACCGGGATTTTCCTCTCTTCACCCTCCTTATCCTCTTTGACACCTGGATGTCCCGAGCACCAAAGAACCATCCGTACTGACCCAGCTGCTTCGCTGGAGTGGATGTGATTTCCAGCTCACGTTCCTGGTTCTTCTTACAGCTTTTTCCAATTGTCCAAAACAATCCTGGCTGGTGTGGGGATGGGACGGCCAGCTGTGCTATTCCTAGAGCTCCAGGCGGAGCAGGACGATCCGGGCGGGCGGCCAGCGCTGAGCTCAGCCGCGCGGCGCTTTGCCGGGACACGGAGCATCCTTCGCTCGCAGCGGCTGCTTGGATCCACGCTAGGATCTACCTGCTGCACCTCTGCCCCGAACGTGCTCCATCCTCTCCCTCCTGCTGGCATAGCATCTGCCGTGTGCCTTTGGGATGTATTTAAATATTTCCCAATTCTTTTGTTGGGAAACACAAATTTAAAGGCTGTTCTATGTGGTTTGGGGGTGTTTCAAGTACTTGGATGAGGACAGAGGATTGCAACACTGGAACAATATGGAAAAGGCAGGCAAAATATCACTGTTATCAGTGAACAGGAAGGTGTGAGGTTAGGCGTTCTGCTCACTTCATAAAAGGGAAGCAAGCAAGAACCATGGCGATTGCTGGGTGTGGATATTTTTCTGTGGATCTCTGGCTTCTGACCTCCCTTGGAGCACATTCAGGCGGGTCCTGGCTCAGGACTCCAGTGCTGCTCTGTGTCGCACAAGCAAGTCCCAAGGGCCTGGTGAAACCTTCTGGAATGGGTAGAGGTTCAGCTCCAAAATGGCTTTTACACAAACTCGGAAACTCACCGTGGAGCAGCACGAGGAGGGCCCGAGGGCGCCACGCGCCAGACTGGGAGCTTGCAGGAATCCCTCCTGCTCCCTGGGTGCTCCCAACCGCCCCGGCCCATCTTATCCCAGACTTATATCCCCTTGTGCCTCCCCAGGTGGCCTGGTCTGTGGAAAGACCTGAACTGCAGCGATCGGCTCAAGTTCTGTGATGCGCAAACGTGCTCGGAGCCCGCGCTCTTGGCAGTGCTCCCCAGCGCGCGGGCCGCTCGCTGCCGAGCACGGGGGCAGCCCTTGGGCTCGCAGGTGCTTGGGTTAATTGGGCATGGGCCAGCGAACTCGATCTCCTGCCCTGGGATGGCACTTCCAGCTTTGGATCCTCACGGGCAGTAACGCGTGGCCCGGCCCGGGCTCACACAAACCTGAAAGCAGCACTCGGACCTGGGCTGCGCAAGGGAAGGGGAGCACAAACCCCGGCGAGGAGCGGGGGGCTGCAGGGAAGCTCCTCAGTGTCTTTGCTTTTGCCTTGCAGGGGTCCAGAACTCCTTGGTGGCCCATGACATGGCCTTCGAGACGGCACGGGCGCCCTGGAGCCCGGAGCAGCAGATGGAGCGGCCGCGGCTCACCAGGAAGGTCCTGGACACGGAGGACCAGGCTGCGTTCCGGCAGCAGTCCAAGATGCCCAGATACATCTACTTTGCAGCCAATGGCACCAACAAGTGGGGCCACCAGCGTGGCTACAGGATCCAGCTCAACAGCTTTGCAGGGGAGCCCATGCCCGAAAGCAGCTCCATGGAGAGGGCCATCAGCTGGGCAAGGTCAGGCCGCTCTCCTGCCGGTGGCACCAGGTTCTCCAGCCCGCCCGGGCCTGGCAGACACTCCCTTGGGCTGGGGTTGCTCTGTAGGGGCAGTCTTGGGATTTGCAGGTTCTCCAGGGAGTAGCATTTAGCTGTGCCCTGCTCCAGGGCCTCTTGCCTCTGTGCTCTGTGCCCTCTGGCACCCCTGACCAGGTTTTGCCATCCCTCCCTTAGAACAAGTTCACCTCAGATGGGTGCCATGCTCTGGCCTTTGGCCTGCAGGACAAACTCCTTGTCCCTCGTCCCCCTTCCCATCACAAGGGTCACTTTGGTTGCCACTAGACTCCCCGGGTTGCATCCCCACCTCATGTTGGAGCTGTCTTGTCCTTAATAAACGCTTCTGAGAAGCCCTCCAGGTCCCAGCGCTGTCTGTTCGGTCCCTGCCCTCGCCCGGAGCTGCTGCCTCAGGTCCCCTCCGCTTCTGTGGCCCTCAGGTACAAGCTGGCGGTCACCAAGCGGAAGGAAGAGGAACCCACCAGCACCAGCGTCTACAACCAGAACGACCCGTGGACGCCCACCGTCGCCTTCGCCGACTTCATCGACAACGAGACCATCGCCAAAGAGGTGAGCTGGCTCTGCGGCGCGGAACGCCCGGCCACGGGGCCATCCGAGGCATCCCGGCACGGCCGGCTCGGCTGGGAGAGCCGCAGAGCCTCGGGAATGAGGGAACATCCCCTCCAGACAGCCCCTTCTCTGTGCATCTCCCTGTCACTTTGATTGGAGCGCCCACATCCCGACAGGGTGGGATTCATTCCCACTCGTGCAGAAATGCCCTGCTGCTGGCAGGTCTTTGGGGAAAGGAGGGAAATCTTTCCCGGGAAGGAGGAGCTCCGAGTGTGGGAGCGTGGGCTGGGCTGGCTGCCTCAGGAGGTCCCTGTCTGTCTATAACTTTCCTTGGCTCATGTGCAGATTTCGGTCTCTCCAGCTGTAGACTCTGGAAATGATCAGTCCTGTAACCCTTCCCTGCCTAGGACCTGGTTGCCTGGATAACCACGGGCTTCCTTCACATCCCGCACTCGGAGGATCTTCCCAACACCGTGACGGTGGGGAATTCCGTCGGCTTCCTCCTGAGACCTTACAACTACCACGACCTGGACCCTTCCATATACTCGCGGGACGGGGTGTTTTTCACCAGCGAGCAGGACGTCACCTCCTGCGCGGTCAACCCCGTGGCCTGCCTGCCCGAGCGGGCTGCCTGCCTGCCCCGCTTCCCCCCCTTCACCTACGGCGGCTTCCAAAACATGAGCAGCCTTTGAGGTCGCAGGATGGTGCTAGGGGACACGGTCACGGCGCTGCTTGGCTGTTCTGCCCCGTCTTCCTTTTCGGTTGTGTCCGGGTTCGCCTGTTCTCCCTGCTTTTCCGTAGTGCTCTTTGCCCAGCCGCCCTGCGAGGTGGCGGAGGGGAGCCGGCGCTGTCCCCTCCGATGGCCACACTGTGTCCCGGTGCCCCCCGTCCTCCGTGGCGGCAGCAGTGCCGGCAG